GTGGCTTTACACAACATGCTAGTGTGCCCTAATGAGGTCTCCTCCTTCCCTACAACTTCAGTCCGGGCCACCACTTTAAATGGCAACAGGTGAGACAATCTGGTATCTTTTAGTAGGCCAAGTGTATAGTTAGAGAAATGTATCTTCGCAAGCTTTTGGGTTGAAAACCCCTTTGTCAGGCTGAGGAAGCACCTGCAGTTGGTGTGTCTGCTGGTCCTGGATGGAAGGAATATTAAGGAAGCCAGAGGCTGGCCTGGCATGCAATGCAGGCAAGAAAGTCAGTCAGTGAAAATGAAAATGGAGGCATTGGGGGTGAGGAACAGGCTGGGGGAGGGGGTGGGGAGAAGGGGGATGTAGCAGCACAGGTAACACTTTTCACAGCCGGGCCTATGAACTTCACTTCATCAGCATCCTAGGTACAGAAACTCACGGACTCAATATAGATTAGACAGTGGAATTCTGACATACTGCAACCTGCTGGACATCTGACTCCCCAGACACCTCTGCATGTTCACCTGTACTGCTACATCCCTCTTCCCCTCCCACCCCAGCCTGTCCCTCACTCCCTGACACCTCCATTTCCATTTTTGCTGACTGAATTTCTTGCCTGCATTGCATGCCAGGCCAGCCTCTGGCTTCTTTACTATTCTTTCCATCCAGAACCAGCAGACACACCAACTGCATGTGCTTCCTCAGCCTGACAAAGAGTTTTTCAACCCAAAAGCTGGCATCCCAGGCAGCTAAGCTGAGCTCACCTGGAGCCTCACAACTGCACTGCAACCAGCAAGCCTCAGGTCTGTCAAAGATATGACAGGTCTGGGCTTTCCCCAGCCAGGACTGTGTGTGCATGTGGTAGCTGGAGGTTATGGCACCTCCTATCTGCCTTTCACCAGGGGATACTCCATCCTGGCATTTACAGGGCTGCTATGCCACCAGCAGTCCCACCAGGTCTCCCTGACCCTGGCAGAGTGTAGTTTTAGTGGTCATGCCCAGGATTTGGGGCTTCTTCCTTCCCCTCAGCCCCAGCCCATACCTTCAAGTTCGTCCTGGCATGGGAGCTCAGCAGGGACATGTTCTTCCCCTTCTGGCTGGTGATGCAGTGACTGCCCCCTCCAGCTCTGAGAGCGGGCCTGTAACAATAACTGGTACAAAAAAATCAAACGGAAATAGGCGCAGACTGAGTGAGGAGGGTGGCACTCAGTTCATCTGCAGGTGAAGCTTGGGGAACCCCAGCAGCAAGAGCTTCACCTTCAAGAACAGCAGCTGCTCCACCCAACCAGGAACCAAGCAGGTGCAGTGGGGTGTCACAACATCCCCAGCAATGCTGAACACCCTCTCGCTTGGAACATTTGATGGTGGACAGGACAGGTGTTGCCAGGCAATTGTGGCCAGAACCTGCTACATCTGGCTTTGGCTTGCCCAGTAGGCCAAGGGGTCACAGTCCAGTGGCTCCATGTCCTCAGTGAGATAGGTAGCCACTGAAGCCTCAGTGCTACCTGCCTGAGACATTTGGACCCCAGCACTGAAGCCATGCCCTTGGCCCACATTGTCAGTGGCTGGAGTGGAAGAGACTGGATGGTGCTGGTGTTGGTGCCAATGCCAGTGCCAGTGCCTATGCCTATGCTGAGAGTGCTGGCATGGGAAAGTGGATCCCTCTCTTCCATGTCCCCTCGCCTCTGCCCTTCTGCCTCCCTGACTCTGTTGACCACCACCTGCATGCAGTGATCGAAGGTTTTGGTGCTGCCAGTGCACATGCTCCCCTTCACTCTCAGGTCACACACGCCCACCAGCATGTGGACTGTACTGGACTGCATCCATCTGTCTCCTGATTCCCTCCTTCGGCCACCTCACCAGTGCCTGCATGTCTGGTGACAGTGGCTTGCTCCAGCCAGGAACATTGATCCCCTGGAATTTTTCTATTTGGTTCTCAAGTTTTCTCACTGTGGGGATCACCTGGCTAAGAAGGGCATCAGCAGTGCTGAGGGTCTCAGTGGCCTCGGGGAAGGGCTTGAGCACCATCAAAATCTGGGAGATGGTACTCCACTTAGCTCTGTTAACAGGACCACTGATCCCGATCTCCCTGAGCAAGACGATTGCACGGAAGGCCTTCTGTAGCTCCACCAGCCTTTCCAGCATCAGGTGTGTGGAGTTCCACTGAGTCTCCACATCCTGCATGATTTTGTGCTGCCAGATGCTCAGCTCTGCTTGTTTCTCCTGCAGCATCTTGCTCCCCTTGATGCTGCAGTGGAAGTAGCCACCTTCCTGAATTTTGAAGGGCTAGAGGGGGTAGGGGGAGAGCTAGAGCTGCAAGTTCCTCCCTCAAAACATAGACCCATCCTCTTCCTGAGCACAAGCTAGGAGCTTTCGCCTGCCAGTGGAAGCAAAGAGGTGGGAGCAGTACCTGACATTCCTGCACCTGCACCACCTCCCCTGACTCCAGAAATAGGCACCAGCAGCAGAATGACCATCTCCTCCACCCCAATCTCATCTCCTGGCATGAGCCTCCCACTGCCACAGGAGGAGGTGGAGCTGGAACCAGGGGATCTGAGCGCCCTAGCTAAGGTAATTCTGAGGACTGAGGAGGAATCTGAGTTTGCGTTCTATGCCCTTCAAAGTTCCCTGAGACCCAGGTCTCCTTCTCTGGAGAGCACCTTGGAGGAAGTTGAGGTTGAGATGGAGGCTCAGGCAAGTGGCTCAGCTGAGTCAGCTCCTCCTGCTGTTGTGCCTCAGCCTGCTGAGGAGGGGGATAAGGCAGGATCCCCACCCTCAACCCAGAAGCGGAGAAGTAGTGTAGTGTGGCATCATTCTGAGGTGGCAGATGATCCCAGGTTTGCTATCTGCCAGCACTGCTAAAGGCAGATCAGCCAGAGGACCTGGCACCTGCCTTTCCAGCATGCTTCGTATTAATCTTTCCTGTGCTGGAAAATGTGTGTGTGTGTATCTGACTTCTTCTGTGTTGTGTGTGCTATGTCTTTACTCTGTGCTATGTGTGGACTCTGCTATGATGATTATGATTGATTATTAGTAACTATATATGGTGTCTTCTGTGATGTGATATGAATTTAGAATGTGAATGTGTGACTACTTCTTCTGTGTTGTGTTTTCTTTACTCTGTGTTGTGTGTGGACTCTGCTATGATAATTATGATTGATTATTAATAACTATATACGGTATCTTCTTCTGTGATATGATATGAAATAGGAATGTGAATATGTGACTTCTTCTTCTTCTGTGTTGTGTTTCTTTACTGTACTGTTCTGTGTTGTGTACCTAAAATAATATATCTTCTTTTTCTTCTTCTAGGACTCTGACTTCTGTGTTATGTGTATTAATCTCAATCTGAATCTCTATCTGACTTCTTCTGTGTTGTCTTTAGTCTGTATGTAAACTAACTATAACTAATAATATTAATAATTAATAACTATATAATCTCTTCTTCTTCTGTGAATATCTGACTTCTTCTATGATGTGTGTTAGTGTGTGTAATGTGTGCTTCCCTGCACAGTGATGGATCACACTACCAGGGAAAACACTGAACTTTCTTTTTAAAAAGTATTGGAAAAAACAGAGAACAGATATAAATTGAAAGAAATGAGTTGGATAAGTAAAGAAGAAGGATTCTTCTTGGATCCTTGAAGAAGGATTCTTCTTGGATTGGATAGGATAAGCTAAGCTATATCCTATCCAATCCTTTCTAAGAGCAAAAAGGAGCAGGCAACTGACTAAGAAGTCAAGTCAGTCCAGTACCTTTTAGACGCTGTTGCTCACTCAGACAGAACAAGCTCACAAAAGGCACAGGAAGCCTGCAGACAGAGGCTTTTATGTTGTTTCTATGTCCCTCCCCCAGACACTGTGATTGGAAAGGGACTCAGGGAGAGATCACACTCACTGGCCAGCTAGAGATGTCAGTCCTTCCTCCCCCACTCCCTCTCCCTCTTCTAAGTTTCTGTTTCCCCTGAAACACCACCTTCAAATCTCCGAATCTCCAAATCTTTTCCAAATTGATTCAGAGGCTCCAAATTGATTCAGAAAGTTTTAAGCTTCTAATGATTCAATTCAGATTTGGAGATTTGGCCTCTGAATCAGGCTGAATCTTCTCCAAATTGAATCAGAGCTGAAGCTTCGCACAGCCCTACC